TACAGAACAAACCGTGATCCGTTGTCCAAGAGACGGGTTCCCAGAGATTAGACGTTGAGCATGTTCAGCCATTTCAGATGCCTCAACTGCATATACATGTCTGGCACCAGCCTAACATTAACATACCAAACCACTATCTGTCAAGTCACATCACTGTATCAATCAAGCACAGAAGTAACTAGTAAGAGAGGCAATGTTGGAAGTTTAAAGTGCACCTGGGCAGCAAATAACGAAAGAATACCACTTCCAGCCCCAACATCAACCACAACTCGACCCTCAAAGTCAGATCGGTTTTCCATTACAGCAGCATAGTATGTTCCTGAAGGGAAAGAATGTGCACGACCTTGTCAGTATTAATGCAGAATGTGAACTACCATGACACCCTGTGGATCGGAATAGAAAGAACTGAGAGCTTTAGGTGGTAAGACACCTGTCCGCACAAAATCTTGTAACATGTTTTGCTGATGTAATAGCTGGCCATAGTAGTGGAAATACATCCTTGCTGATGATGCCTCAATTTTTGTATCGAATTTGCTTTTCGAAGCAATTATTGATCCATTCTCCAGCCGCTCGCCTGTCACATAAGCAAAAATAAGCATTTGTGCCAAAAAAAAAGACAGAAAAACGTTACACCATACATACATCCATCAGTTTAAACGTTTTTTTTTTTGGAAAGTCAAAATTTAAATTTTTGGACGAAATAGTTATTCAAATAACGAATTGAGCATACAAAGTTTGCATCAGCAGATTCGGATTGAAAAGGAATTTTACGATGATGTTAAGCTTGTAGCATTGACAGTATATATTGGAAGAGAAATTACAGTCAAATCAACTTTAAACTACTTTCACCTAACCAAAAGACACCCGACATTAATGGACAGAGGGAGTCAAAGTCATTTTTCTGTGTCCGTTTTGGCATGAAGTCATGCAATAAGCATATCAGATGTATGCTTATCTTTTGTTTTAAAGTTCTGCAGGTGCAGAGTGTTCATTCAATTTCTCCAATGCATCAAACTGCACACAGCACACAGTTTAATCTGACTGACAGTTACTATCTAGTAGGTCTGTCTGTGGAGATGCACAGCAAAAATATGCTAGCTCTGAAAGTGACCAAGAACATAAATTTATTTTCTCGGACATGCAGGAGGGCTGCATATCATTATATTATAAAAGAAAAATAGTAGAAAAGAACCCCAAGTTCTGATTTCTAAAAATGACCAAGAACTAAAATTTCATCATGAAGGTAGAATTAGAGTATGTATGGACGTAAAATTCTGATATTTCACCAGATTGTAGGATTACATGAGCGTGCAAAAACACAGTGCAAGTCAGTATGACAGTATGTAGTCTGAAATTCACTAGTGCTCAGAGCAAATGCTTCACTCTTTTATGATGCAAATACGGGGGAAATACAAATATGTTGTGTCTACGTCTATTAAAACTAACATAAGGTAATGACTCATAAACAGTGCAACAAAGCATACTGCTGAAATTATCTGAAACAAGTCATGAAAAGGACAAACCAGCTTTTCCACTAATAACTTGGTGTTTCCATCGTTGAAAAGCTAAAGAGAAGGCTTTGCTCTCAGCTTCTGTCCTAAGAACAACCTTAATTGCTCTTGAAAATGACTTCTGCCTCAAAGAACTGAGAGTTAACATGTAGCCATTTAATATGTACTACAAGAAAGTTTTAATGTACAAGGACAAAGAATGATCTTCAGGTTCACATATAAGTTGTTAATAGGTCAGCAAGCATAGCAATGGAGTTTAAACACATGGAGCTTTATGTCATGTCAGAATATAGTAACCTTCTAGTGCTATTTACACTCTATTTCTGGAAAGTTAGCGTAGAAATAAAGAAATCATGCTTCTGTGAGAATTCAAAGCAAAGATAAATCCTTTGCAGGCAGTGGGTAAAAAGTACCAATTCATTATTGCTATCCTGATCTGAAGCTACATCCACTTAGATTTAGAGGCATCGATCATTAAACATAATGAAGGGGGGAATGTACAGCTTTACCACCATCGAGCATTAAATATTAGTTATTATACAAATGTAAAGCGAGCTTGGAAACACATATGCCAAGGAAACATATTCTTCATAAACAAAATGCAATGCAATGCAACATATGCTATACTCTTGCCATGCTACACATGCTGTAGTTCCGCAAAGTCAGCACAAACAATTCAATAAACCTGACAGAAACAGAAACTTAACAAATTACCTCTTCCACGCCAGCCTTAGCCTCCGACTCGTCGCACACGCACAGCCACTCCCTCGGTCCCAACTTGAATACCTGTGCAGAACCTAAACACGTGACTTCCCAAAACGTACGAAAGCAGCGGAAACCTCCCCAGAACCACACCAAATCAAGCCAAATCACAGGCAGAGGCAGCACAGCACACATACTGCGCCAACCCCTCTCCGGCTTCGCCCCGAACCCAAATCATATTCACCGAGATCACGGCGGCTACCTGCGCGTCGGCGAGGTCGATCTCAACCGTGGGCTCCGCCTCGGCCTTCCCGGCCTTCACGAGGCTGAGGCGCGGGGCCCCGGTGGCGGCGCCGAGGCCGAACGCGGCGGTGGCCCCATCGGCCGCTGGCGCGGCGGGGGCGGCGGAGACGTCGGAGAAGGCGACGTTGGGGAACAAGTCCGGCGACGACGCCATTGGGCCGGAACCGCCGGGATCAGAGACCGTAGCCGCCTAGGGTTTGGGGCCGCCGGGGCTAGGGTTTTGCATTGCGGGGGCGAGCGCTTGGCTCGCGAGCTGCCGCTGTTTGTACTCGTGGGTGGACTGGGCTGCGCGCGGAGGCGACCACCAGCTTCTTATGCGGGCGACGACGTGGACACGCCGCCGGAGCCCGGAGCTAGAGTTCGCGGGCGGTTTGGGCCCACGAGTCAGTGGAAGGTTTCGCGTGCGTGTCCGTCGCTGTTGAGACCGTGGGAGTTTGTTAAGCCCCCCGCGCTAAATCGGGTAATTTGCGGATTGGGCTTTCGTGACGTTCTGGGCGATTGGATTTGTTTCGTTGAAAGCCCAGAACACGTGTGGGCCATCGCCTGCTTCCGGCGGCCATAGCGACGACGTGGCAAGATCCCTCGGAGGAATTAGGAAACGACTGTGACATTTGGCAAGCTACAAATGGCAAAGCTGGGCGGCTAGCCACACGGCAGACAACTATTGGCTGTAACTGAACGAAACTAATCAGCGTAAAGTTGTTGGCTTGTTTCCTTCCGGCATTGATTGAGCTGCATAAGCCACCATTCTTCTTCTTTAGGCTCTCTTTAGTAGAGATTCTCTAATCCTCGATCTTTTATAAAGCTGTTTTTCAGCTTCTCCGGTCAAACAGGACCGATGAAACAATTTTTCTTTAGAAACTGTTTAGTTTCTCTTGCATGCACAGTTTTTTTTTTTTAGTGAAGCCGCTTATGCTGAAATTTGGCTTATGCTAATTTGTTGTAAAAAAAAAAATACTGTTTGTTGGCTGAAAAGTAGTTCAAGCGAACAGAGTGATTAGCTTCTCCTCTCTCTCTCCGATATATTCACTGAGAAGTAGTTTTACCAAATATTTTTTTGAAAACAACTTTAGCTTTACCGGTGAAGCTATTTTATAGAACCAAAGAAAAAAAAACTGCTTCACTGGTGAAGCTAAGCTCTACCAAACTCCTAACAGACCCTTGTTGGTGAAGCTTTTCTGAAAAAAGGCTTTTTATAAGAGATTATAAATAAATGGAGAAAAATTACGATCAACATAAGTTTGTTAGACTCAGCTTATGCGTTTTAGTACAAAATAGACTGCCGGAAGGAAGACAATAATAAGCAACTTATTGATGGTACAGTGTACGGTATAACTTAGCGTGTTTTTTGTTCTTTCAGGATGTCCAGTCCAGGAGACTAATACAAGATTAAAAAAGTAGCTGAAGATCCCTATGGATAATTTGCCTCCATGGTTGGATCAGGATCGATAAACATCTCCAACTGACGAGTATTTGTTCCAGCATCCGCTAAACTGCTATATAAAGAAAAGAAAGAGAAAACATTGGTGAATGACATGTCCTCTGTCTGAGCCGGGTCAACCGCTAATCATCCAAGTAGTGGAACAGCAGTCCCTGTACAGCTTGTATGTCATGCTGTCTGCCTGTTTGCAGCTCTTGGCAACAACCTCTAACGTTGATATCGCTAGCTGCCGCTGCACAATCGTCGAGAAAGGCTGCCGGCAGATTCACAACCGATCGAACTACTATTCGCATACGCACCACTGGGGATCAAAGCTGGTCGCAGGGAACAAACGAACGTGAAGACAATGCCACACCGTTTTAGTTTCATTGCAGTTGCTCGTCATAGCCAACTTGGTTAACTAAGCAGTCAAGGGCAGAGATCGTCTGGTTTTCACCTTATGGTGGAGTGTGGGCTAAGCACCATGGATCTGTACTAAACGACTATACTCATTCGAATGTTGTATTCCTTTATTTATCTAAAAAAAAGGCAGAGATCGTCTGAGCTCAGAGTACTGCATTTTTCTAGAATGAATGTTCCGTTCTGTTACGCATGGGCATGGCTAAGTGAAAAGCTGAAGTGTTGGTCTCAAGGAAACCTGGCGTTGCATGGATGAGATCAATCACCAAATATAATGCGCAAAATCAAGCTGTCCACAGAGCAAAGACAAACCAGCACCATCACAAAAAGCAGACATACATTGCATAGCATCGATGGAATAATTAATCTTGAATGCTGTAAGAATCAATCAACTTATATTGGATATGCTCATACACAAAACCCATCACACAAAATAAAAACGTCATTCTTAATCTTATCACAAGAATATTGCAGCAAATGGTAAAACCGCTGCTCTGTTCAGTTCCTTCTGAATCAGGAAGATCGAGAACGCAAAGCACCATGGAAAGCAAGGACCACGTGCAAGCAGCTAGCGGCGGCAGTGGCAGAAGCGGAACAACAGCTAGCTAGCAGCCTAGCAGTCTCGCTCGCTTCTGGCTGCTGGCTCAGCCGCGGCACTGCGTGATGGCGGAGCAACCGCGGCTGTAGGGGTTGGCCTCCGCGCCGGGGCGGCAGTTGTAGTAGGACGCGCCGCGCTGCGAGCACGGCACGCTGTCCCTGGACAGCGCGGCGTAGCTGATGAACCCCGTCCCCGTGACGACGTCGACGATGCTCGTGGCGTTGGCGTCGTCGAGGCCCGTGGCGTTGGCGTCGTCGAGCCGCCGCCTGCCGCCGAGCTTGCTGCCCAGCCCAAGCACGTCGTCGTCGTCTCCGATGAGCAGCTCCGTGCCGGGGTCGGCGGCGCGCGCGTAGGCCGACGCCGACGCGGCGGCCACCGCGAGCGTGGCGAGGAGGGCGACGAGGAGCGGGGCGCGCGAGTGCGGTGCCATGGCTCGTCGCAGTCTGGCGGACGTTCTGGGAATCTGGGCGTCTCTCTTGCGTTGAGCTGTGAAACTTGTGATGTGGTCGGCAACAGCAAGGGCGCGCTGCGCGGAGGAGAGGTTTTAAACAGAGGACGGCCGAGGGGAGGAATCATTTGGACAGGTGGGGGCCTCCAGCTGCCATTTGACTTTGGGTTCCGGGGGATATATGGGCCTGTTTGCTTTATCGGTAGGTTTATCATTTAAAATCTGGGTATTTTCTCTCACACTAACAGGATTGGCTGATACCGGCCGAACAGGCCCAAAAATAATTCTTCCAATCATATCATATTAACAGGGTCATCATTGTCAGTTTAGCATTGACTTCCACCAACAGGATATATGTTTCTCCCATCTAACATTTCTTGCATTCACCTTTAATAATGTAGAGTTCCTTTCCGTGGCGGAGCTAGACAAAATTCAAGGGGGTGCGCTTGCCTTGTGGTGCATAGATTTTTATTTTGAGGATACGAACACGGTGAAAATTTAACTATAATCACTATTTTTTGTTTTTTGTGCGGCTGCACCCACTAATGACAACATAGATCCGCCCATGGTTCCTTTGTAACACAAGATTTTCATATGAATCGTGCAGAATTTTCACATGAAAAATACAGGATTCAAAAAAAAAAAATTGTGTGTTCCATTGCTACCTCGGAATGATTTTTAAAGGCACCAACGATTTATACCAGAATTGGTTCAGTCAATAGTCGTGATTTCTGGAGAGACAGATACAAGCGGGTGGTGTAGCTACCTCTATAGACCCATTCTAGCTGTCTCTGAAAAGAGGTTCGTCCCCCATAGTGTTGTATAATCTTTTGGCTTAAGCATTGAGCACGTGATCTTCCGTACCTCATCTGAAAATATAAATTATCATCAGGTGAGTACTTTGACCAAACATGCCTCCTTAAGCATTCAAGCATCATACAAAGTGACATAAAATCTTATAAAAAAGGATACAATAAAAAAATCCTAAAAGAAAAATTGTGGCCTAATAAAAAACTTTAAAACAGAAAAATAGAACCCAATATCCGATAGGGAGGCCCAATGGACCCAATATTTCAAACTGACATTACGGCCCGGGACAGGGTCTAGGGTTCATATATTCCATTCAGTCTTCCCCTCAAAAAAATATATATATTCCATTCAGTCCGCCTCGTATAAAACCAACAAATCCCGAATTCCCGACCACTGGGTTTGTTTGGTGACGTGGCCCTGCCCGGCATGGCCGGCTGACCAGGCCGAGGCTTGCCCGAGCCCGCCTCCTTAGCTGCTACCTGCCATGTTTGGTTTGTTGTACCGGAATGAGCCAGGTAGAATAGAGACGGTGTTTGTTTCGTGGTACAAATGAGTACAGCTACCTTGCACCATACTGTGGTGATGTTACCACCCCCTCTCTCCCTTTCTGGCATTCTGTCGATCAATTGGTGGGCAGTGATGGTGGCACAGCTCTGCTTCCTCCACGGCGTCCTGCTCTTCCCCTGCCATGCCACTGCCTCCTCCGCGCGCGTCCCGCTCTTCCCCTGCCACGCCGCCGCCGCCGCCGCCGCGTTCGCGTCCTCGATGCTGATGGAGGTGTGCGACGTCCGCAGTAACCGCGTTTGCTGCTTGTAACACCCATGTTTTTTGCATCATGATAAAAAACACTAAAAATTTAAAATTTTTAAAATTTACAACAAATTAAAACCTTTTTTTGCAAAACCGTTCCGAAAATATTTTCCGAAAACCCTGCATCAAAATCCACCATATGCATTTTTGTGTCACGAAGGATTTTAGTTGTAGTGCCAGACATTTTCTAGGATTAGAAAATCGCCTCGCATTTTAAATTTCATTGCTTGCACCTTGATTGAATGAATGCTTATTTGAATGCTTGTTGATTGTGTGAATGCTTGCTTGTTTGCTTGCTTCTCTGGAATTTATTTGCGGCACCAAAATAACTTCCCTTAACTTCCAATTTCATTCTTGAAGTATTTAAAACATTTTCTCTAAATAGAGGTAGATAATACATCGTATATATCCTATCGCCTTTCCTGCAAAGGTTTCACTACTAGTATCTCACTTAGGCCTGGCCCAGCCAAGATTGGAGTGTTACTTGGGATGTTCGAATACTAATAAAAAAATTACAGAATCCGTCAGTAAACCGTGGGACGAATTTATTAAGCCTAATTAATCCATCATTAGCACATGTGTTACTGTAGCACCACATTGTCAAATTATAGACTAATTAGGCTTAAAAGATTCATCCCGTAAAGTAGTTACAATCTGTGCAATTAGTTATTTTTATAGTCTATATTTAATACTCCATGCATGTGTCAAAATATTCGATGGGATATAGTGTAAATTTTTAAGGAGTAAGAGGTGTTTGGTTCTTTAGTCGTTCTAAAATTTATGTCACATCGAATGTTTAGATATTAATAAAAGAGCATTAAATATAGATTAATTATAAAATCAATTACATAGATGGAGGCTAATTTGCGAGACGATTTTTAAGCCTAATTAATCTGTCATTAGCACATGTTTATTGTATCATCACGTTGTCAAATCATGGACTAATTAGGCTTAAAAGATTCGTCTCTCAAATTAGTCACAAGTTGTGTAATTAGTTTCGTAAATAGTCTATATTTAATACTCTATGCATATATTTAAATATTCAATGTGATACCTAGAAATCAAACAGGGCCAGCCTGCTGCAGTGCTGCTGCGGCGCCTGGCATTGTCATTGAAGAAGGGCCTGGGGCCTGGGCCATGCTCATGAGAGATGGAAATGACATGAAATGAAAAACCCTCCCTGGCAGACTTGCTTGTCTCTCGCGGTGAGCAGTGACTGAGCAGGCCGCCTTGATCACGAGTAGGAGGAGTCCGGAGTACTCCCTACAGTACGTAGTAGATCCTCCTCGCTCCCTACAGTACGTAGTAGATCCTCCTCGCTCCCCCACTCCCCCAGCACCTGCCTCCTCGATCTCACTCTTGCCGCTGCAACGCAGCAGGCTTGCAGCGAGCGAGGCATGCAGCGGCGGCCACCGGCTAGCACCACAGCAGGCAGGCTCAGCTCGCCGGCCTCCTCTCTCCCTCGTCCTTCGCGGCCCGGCAGGCGGGGGCGCCATGCCGTAGCGCAAAAGGCCAGTCGCTAGAGAACAAAAGTTTCCAGCCGTGAATCGGCGCCGCATCCGCCGGCGCCATCAATTCGTCGTCCGGCCGTACGGAGAGGGAGGACGAGGCGCCAAGACCAGCAGGAGGGAGAGAATCAATCAAATCAGAGTTGTGCACAACCTAGTCCCGACAAACAACTTCGACTAATTATATATATAAAATAAATGTGATTACGCAGACAACGAATCAATATCAGACCATAATTTGCACTGGTACGGGGGAACTCTGATAGCCTCAGCCACCCCGCCCGCTGGAGGTGGAGGCCCAGGAGGGGGGACGGGGGAGGGCGAGAGAGACCGCGAGGTGGAAAGGGCGCGCGGACGGGAAAACACGCCTGTTTCGGCTCGTGTCAGCAGCGCGGGCGGACGGGGGGCGGTCAAACCGTTTGGCGCGGTGCCCCAGGCTGCCGCATTGCAGCTGGAGTGCCCGAGTGCCGAGGAGATGCGATGCGATGCGCCGGCCGCGGCGGCGGGCGTCAACCGTGACCGTGAGCTGGCCGTCAAACGCAAAAGCGGCTCAGCCTTTGGGGATTAATTATGGCCGGGATTAGATTAACATTAACCCGCCGCTGCCTGCCTTCTGCTCCGCGCTACTAGTACCTGGCCGCTAGCTACCCAGGAGCAGATTCCATTCCGCTACTGGTAATAGCATGTACTCTCTCAGTTCCTAAATATCTGTTATTTTTGTTTTTTTTAAAATAACTTTAATTAAATATATATTAAAAATATTAATATTTATAGTATATAATTAGTATCATTGAAAAGATTCTTAAATCTAGTTTTTAATAAATTTATTTTGAGATATAAATGTTTCATATATTTTATATAAATCAAAGTTAAATTCATGACACGTACACTAACAACGACAATTATTTAGAGACACAGAGAGTACCTCGAGGCTGCAGCAGCTGCGTGGAGCACGTAGGAGTACTGTACACCGCGTCCCGTCCCGTCGCTCGCGGTAATGCATCGTAATCCTCGTGCGTGCGCCAACGCCTGCACTCCACTGCATGCCCAGGCGTCGTCAGCTCAGCTGGTACGTACTGTACCGTACTCGTAAAAACCACAGACTGGACACCAGCCAACTACCACTGTTATTACTATCAGTGTCAGTATCATCAGGCTAGCGCCTAGCAGTAGTACTGTATGGTCATACCAGTGCTGAACGGTAAACAAGGAACGGAACGGCAACAAATCTATGGGCCTGTTTAGTTCAATGCGCGCCCGTCCTTTTTTCCAATCGCAAACATGTGAATCGGTGCGATTTTAAGGGCACTCTGGCGATCTCTCTCATCGCAACGGTCTCTTTTGATTATGTATAAAATCTTATAATATATATTAAATAAACTTGTAAGATAAAAATAAATTCAATAAAAAAAACTAATTATCGAGAACAATGTAGTTGGGTGATGATAATCGCGTAGGCGAAACAAATGTTTCTTAGGTAACCTAAAATTAATCCATAATTAGAAAAAAAATATGACTAATAGGTACAAATACTAGAACGAAAATACAAATAATTAATTTGAACAAAAAAAAAAAAATTGCATCTAAACGCGCCCTATGCCACGAGCAAGCGGCACTTTGGCTTCGCATTGCACCTTGCACGCGCCAACGTGAGAGCGTGGTACCGCTACTGGCAGGGAACATCGCTGCACGGAACGGCGTGTATCATCGGACGGGCCTCTCCGTCTCCGTGCGCCAATGCGCGCCCGTCCTGTTCCTGTCGACTGTCGTTGCAATCGCAAAGCCTGCCTGCGTGTCCCATGCTTGAATGAAGCCACTCTTCCAGCACCACGGCGGCTCGGCCGTCGTACAACA